TAAGAAAGAGCAAGGCATTACCAGAAAGAGAATTTAAAACCTTGAAAATGTATGCAATAATTGAATAAAATTTTTGAAATTCCCATTTTCTTACTTCAAAAGGTAGTAGGATTACTAATAGCTGATAAGCTATATGAGAGTGTGGCCTTGAATGTATTATGGTATCAAATGTTAACAGGTTGATCCATGAAGTTGCCACCAACATATTTATTTTATCTTTATACTATTACATTTTAAAATTTTTGTTCTAATATTTTCCCCTTTTTTTTCCTCCTACATGTTTCCGTGTCCCTGTGCTATTGTAGAGTCCTCTCCATGTCTATTCCTTTTTTCCCACCTACTGTTTTGTGCTGCAAACCTTTCAGCTCTTTATCATGTTCTTCCATACATAAAATACCTTGGTCTCAGTTCTATCCTCAGAAAAGAGAGGTCTTGTTTTCTGTCTGTACCCAGACAAACTAATTCTTCATACCTTTACTCTTGTAAGATGAAATCCACATTCACCAGATGAATAACCACACACTGGGAAAAAGGTTGAGAAATGGTATATTTAAGTTTCACATGCTGTTATTTCAGTTTTGTGAAGATTTTTGAAGTTTCTTCATCCTTTTGTTCAACATGTATTTGACTTCTTTCATAGAGACACATAGAAACATTTTTAGATTATTGGATGCCATTAGATGACTGATTTCTATTATACAAGACAGATAGTTTGAAAAGATTGCTAACTAAATATTCTTTTTAAGAGTCAGTTAATCAATTATAAACTTTCTTTTACATCACATGCCAGTCCATATGAAATACTTGAATTTTTACTCTGCTCCAAGATGTAACTTAAAAATTAACATTAATTCTTGACTAAATATAAATAGTTAATTATTGCCTAGGATTCTCTGTTTTCCTTTCCTCCCTATTTACTGTTGCTCTGTGCTCACATTGTCATTCTTCACTTCTGATCTCACTTATGATGACATTTATGTTCCCCAGAAGATCAGGTGGATTTTAAGGAGAAATTTTAGTAGATCTTTAATGAAAGCCTCAAAAACATTGTTTCTGTTTCGCTGCATAGCTCTGAGGAAGATTATTTTATTTTATTTTTTTTAGCAAAACTCTACACTGTCCTTTCCAGTCAGTTTTCTGAGAGGCATGGAAAATGCTGAAAATATGGCAGCAGCTTCATGTTTTTCAATAAAATGATGACCACTTTTGTTCCATTCCAGGAAACAGCAAGAACACTACTCTGAATCTTGCTTTTAAGGGTCTTAGGAGCTCTAACCTTCCCTCTGCTTGGTATAACGTAGATAATAAATGTGAAAATGGAACTACAGGCTCACTGAACACTGAACTAAGTATCTTTTCATCTGAACCAAGTTTTATTTTGTAAATTTGGAGATGAAGTTCCTTTTGGAATTTGCAAATTCAATCATAGAATATCATGTGCCGCAAAAAGAGAGGAAAGCATAAAAATATTAATAGAGAACATCAGTAATTTTAACCTGAACACTACAAATAGTCAATCATGATACTTAGAGCACTTATTCTCTTGTAAATTTTTTTATTCCTTCCAGAGATCTTACTGTGTTTTATTAATGAATAGTTGTAAATCGTTTTAAGAACTTAAAGCTATTAGACCAGAGAAAAGCATTTTATTATTGTTATTGTTCATTTGAAATGCTAATTAAAGGCATCAGAAAAAATTAATTTGCTTCAGATTGCTGGTTAAACTTCTTTAGTGCATTAATCATTATAATAAAAATACATTACAATATAGTGCTTTGCAGACAATGCATATTCCATTCACCTGGGTTGAACATGGAACCTAAAATAAAGCTTGGTTTGGGGTTTTTGAGGGTTACATAAAATAAGTCATGTGCAAATCAAAAATTAAAACTTGGACAAAGGAGTTTTCTGCCAAAACATTTCAAAGCAAGTATCTACCATCAAAATAAAGATGCAAGTCAAAAGGGAGGGATTCTTCTTTCTCAAGTTAAATTTGACATCCTGCTTCTATACTTGATGAAGTTGATTAACAGCTAATTTGGACACCTGCTTTGACCCACCAGGATTGAATGTGTTTATTTTTTCTTTATTGATTACAAAAATAAACTTGCCTTGACCAACAGCTGATTAGAGCTGGGGCTTGATCCCAGTCCAAAATTCTAGTGTGTGAAATGTCTGATGCTTCTAACTGTTTTGGAAAAGCTGTTTCACTATAAGGTTTATGTGGGGTTTGAAAGTGTAGACTAGGGGTTATTGATAGTTTACTAAAGAAATATATAACTTGTATATAATTCTGATTTGTACTTTTGAAGGCCATTTGGATGTTTGTTGTTGTTACCTAACTTGATGTAAAGAAAATGTAACTCTGCGGTTAAGCAAATTATTATTTCTTTATTGTAAGACTGAGAGGTGTGTTGAATTAGCCTAGATTAAATACAGTGCAATGACTTCACTGCACATAACACATGAGTCAAGTGCATGTAGTTTCCAATATGTTTTTGGAGTGAAATTCAGTTCAGTAACTCTCCAGTCGCAAAATTTTTAATATCAGCTTTCAATGGAGACTGAAAAGAAACTAGAAAAAATAGTAGACAAAAGTAGTAGATAAATTATGTTGTGCTGAAAAAGTGTCTTGAAGTTTTTCTGGTTTCCTTCCTTGCTTCTATACAGTTTTGCCTATTTAGAAATCTTCTATGCTGGCATGCATTTTTTTTTTCACATAAAAAAAGTAATGCTGAACTCCAATGTGGAATGTTTCTAGTTTTCTTTCAGACAGCACTGGCAAACTCACAGAAGTCCCTGGATCAGGTGTTTTCAGGACTATCTTGAGTCTGCCTTTGCTTGAGTGAAAACCAAAAAATACATTTTATTGACTCTTTTTTTATGGGTACTTATGTTTGTGTTGGGCTAAGAAAGACCACAAAGACAGAAATATTCTGCAGTATAGTTTTCTAATTAGTTTTTTTTAAAAATGTAGCTTCAGCTTAAAATATGTTCAAATGCCAGTACTTACAGTGACTACTGACATACTATGAACTACAAATTTTATGAAATTACATGTTTTTCATTGAGAATATTACTTTGTTTGAAATTGAATCTGTGTGTTATCCTTTATTCCGTTCATGGTTGATGTAACACTAGCCAGTTCAAGCCAGTTTAGTGAAAGGTTGCTGTTTTTCAATGTCATCTCAGCACGAGTGTGTTCAATTTGATTTGAGCATGTGTAACAAAAAATACCAGAGTGTGTTGACTAGAGTGTACAAGTCAAGCTCCCGTTCTTGACTCCTTGTTCAACACAAGCTGGAGGTGGAAATGAGATGAAGTTAACAGGAAAAATACAGCTCCCAGTGGAATCTCAGCTGAGTGCTTTCTGTTCATTTATGTAAACTCAGCACAGACCACACATCAGACTGTAACCTATATTGGTTTATCCTGAATATATTGTCAGTACCATTAACTGCATCTGATGCTGTGACAGACAAAAGATTTTCTGAGTCCAGTTTGTGGCCTGAACCCAATTTATGGGAACTGCATTATCCAAGTTCCTATTTAGAGGTTTACGTTAAAAATAAAAATTGAAGTTTGGCTATTTAACAGCAAAATATGTACCTTTTTCTTATAATAAATATTTGCAAGCATTTCACATTTTTCTGGCGTTAGCCTAAATGAATAAATGGTAGTCTCATTTTTGGCAATCCATTTTGACTCTCAGTCCAAAATATTGGATGTGTTTACTCTTGCTCTTTCCACAGTTACACAGTTCATATTTGTCACAAACATGAAAAAAAAAGCCAAGGTGACTTGATTTTCACCAAATTTCTGCAATAACAGTTTTCCAGAACTTTTATGTGGTAGCACCTTAATTTTACTCTGTAAAGAAAGGAATAAAAAATACTTCTGTATATATTTCATCCTTTCTGCCACTGTTGCATTCCTCCTGGTCTCTTCAAATCTGACTGACACTGGCAATCTGTGCTGATTGTGCTGAAATAAATATAGTTAAATGTAACATACACACAGACTTATGCCATGCGATACATATGTAGGTAATTAAATGAGTATAACATCTAGACCACATGTAGAGGACATTCAGAATCTATGAAACTGATGTTTTTGGATCTGGATATATGGTATATCTGCTGCTACGTTATTTTGCCACTACCTAAATGTACTAATTCTAAATGGTCTGTGGTTATAAAGTCAACAGACAGACTAGGAATAAAACAAAAAAAGTCTTTTCTGCAATTTATCATATCTGAGAGACAGACAGTAGTCTTTTCATGGAAGAAAATTTTTAGACAAGGAATATAAAATCAAATTAATATAATATAAAATATATTGAAAATAGAATTAAATTAAATTAAAAAGACAGGCTGCTTTTAATAACTGTAGGTTATAGGTTACAATTTTTAAGCCATTGCTCTGAGATCATAAGTGGCTGTTTTTGTATTAGCTTCTGGTGTTTCTGGTTTATTTTATTTATTTATTTATTTTTAATTTAGATTTGTGCTTTGAAATGAATTCATGCAATGTGTGCACTTATTAGTCTTAGGTCAATATCAGTGAGTGGCCTCGGTATGCACAAGTTGTTTTCCTTTCAGATGAAGCTGAATTGGGAAATGCACTGCAGGAGTGCACAAGTAGTGATCAGCCTGTGTGTGGGACCGATTTAGGACTAGTCAAGGCCTTAACCTCTGAAATGTGTGTGTTGTGCCATAATTGTCCAGCTCTAAAGTTCTTGTTTTTATGCATTGCAGTACTTGCTAGGATGGTGTGAATTGAACAAAATGTTTTAATGGGTTTTTTTTGAGACAGGATCTCTTCTTCCAGATTTTGTCTTTCTCCTGTGGAGCATAGATTTCATGGGATTTTCTTTTCAGGAACTCAGAATTTCATTAAAACAACAAAAATCAATGTTGAAAAAACCAGTATTGAAGTATGAATATAGTTGTTCTGGCAGAAGACATTAAATCTGGCAAAAATTGATTTTTTTTTTCCAGGAAAGAACAGTAACAATTAGAAGACAGACCGTAGGAGGATTTGGGTTAAGTATAAAGGTAAGATGGTTTTTTTGTCTATTTATTGCATATTTACCCAAAGTGTGTCTGTATATAATCAGTGTTACTGTTAATGAGTGCAAACTATTTTAGAGGATTAGAAACAAGACAGGAAACATATTCTTGTATGTTGGATACTGTTAGAGCAGGCAACCAGAACTATGCTGCCCTATGAAATGGAAGGCAATAGTTCCCTTAAAATTCAAGCTGACAAACTCTGTAATAAGATTTGATATAAGAGTTGAGAAATGTTTTGAACTGTATAGACTGTACTCATGTTGAGCTTCTCTCTAATTTAAATAGTTATTAATGAATGCTAAATTATAGTGGCAGGCACATGGAATAGCCAGTAAGTTCATCATCAATTCTGCTGCAAAGAATATCACATTAATCCACTGCAATTCATTAGTGGAACAGAAAATGTAATTGTGTCCTCATATTGTTTATTTTTCTGCAGATCAAACCCAGACAGTAATTTATCATATTACCATGTTTTTGCTTTTGTCAGTAAGATTTAAGAATGCATACAAGTGTAGGTGATCCTTTTTAGGAGAGAGAGGAAGGGTTAATAATTTTTGTCATTGTAATCTATGATTTTGAAAACCTTAGCTTTGAATCTGTGTGTCAACACAAGATTAATTTTATCTTCTAAACACAGCAGTTCTCAGTCTCAAGATAGCAATGGAAAAAGTGAAGTGTGCTTCACTTAAATGCAAGGAGGCCTAAATTATGCATATAAAGAGAAAGTATAGGTTTTGCTATGAACTTCTGCTAGTACTGACCTTATAAGTGACTCATAAGAAGGATTAATGTGCATTTGTTGTCATTGATAAGAATATGACTGAATAGAATTTTTAATTTTTAAAAATGTCTTAGTGTGCTTGCTGTTATCTTGTTGACCCATGAAGATCTCTGTTCAAGAAAAACTAATTGCTATTTTGTCACCAAAGCTTCTCATCAGTTTGGTCAAAAACACTCAAGTTTTTTTTCCTCTGGTATCATTATGGGTTACAGTGCAGTGAATAATGATGAAGTAATGAATGTCAGTGTAAAATCAAGTACATGGGTAAATGAGCTTTTATTTAGATGCTGATAAGAAATAACTGGTTAAAGGACTTTAGATAATTGGAGAGCAAATTTCAAGAGTCAATAAACTTGATTTTACATGTGCTTCACCAGGAGTTATCATTTAGAATTAGCATCGCTGATAATCTCAAGATCACATTTTTTAAGTATTATATACATTTCATAAAATAAATTATAATTTAGAAAAATTAAATAGTGAATATTCAATGATCTTTCTTAAATTAGTAAAGTTACTCTTAAATTTTTTGAGTAAGATATTTATTTTCTAGGATTATTTTCTATCATAGATGTTTTCATCAGAATTAACCAAACTATTGGAAAGGTGAAGATACAAAGTCAGGTGTGAATAGAAAATTTTTAATTTTATGAAATAACCAGTAATCAGATGATGAAATCCCTTCAAAAATGTCATTAAGAGCAGAGTTCTCTTTAGAAAAAGGAAACTCAAACTTGCTTGGATGGCATAGATTAGATAATGAAAATGACAGTGTTAATTCCATGGTCCAGGATGTTCTGTATATGTGTTTCAGGTAGTATGATTTATTACTTTAAACTTAATTATTTTCTAAAAAAATCTATCTATGTGGGATCTTTATTACTAGTTCTACATTCTCACAAAGATCGACAAGCAGCTGGATAGCCAATGCAATCTGAAAAAAAAAATTAAATAATCTATTATTATAATTTTAAACTAGTCTAAGAAACAGCTTAGAATGGGAACTTGAAGTAATTTTTCATTTTTACTTTAGTAGGCAAACTTTTTGGAGACTTACTGAAGTGGACTTATTTATGGCATGAACTGACATATCAGATTCAAATACTCTGAAAAGTGCCAGTTTTCTGTTTAAAATGTGTTGTTCAATCATGGTTTGCTTCTTGCAGATGAATAAAAGTTTGCTGCTATGTTTTTGTTTTGTTTTTTAAGATTCCTGAACTTTAATAAAGAACTTATATTTGTTATTAATTTTAAATAGGAATGTAATAATTTTGAGATTGTGCCAGAAAGTACAAGTTATCCTGAAGGAGTGAGAAGGACTGAGACCTCTCCTCCTTGTGTCAGTAACTTCCATAGCCCCTCAAACTACAGTAGTTTCTGCTGTCCTACTACTCCCAGACTAATTAAAAATAGGGGTTATTTGGGGACTTGCTTTCTGGCTGTGCTGTGTCAGAGGATGCTGTTTATCTGAGGTGTTAATTACAGCAGTACAGTGATTAATGACACTCCCTTTAGAATACTTGCTTGGGCTTTTTTATGAATTTGCCTAATTTTGGCAATCAGGTCTGGGGCATTATTGCATTTTTTTTTTTTTTCTGCTGACTTAAAACATCCATTTACTGTCAGAAATCTCACATGAAAAAGTCACCTTTCAACTTTCTCTTGAATAAATTTTGAAAATGTCTTATCCCACTGCAAGTATTTTGAACTCCTGGAATTATTCTTTTTTCTGAAGAGCAGAGGTCAAATTGTTAATAATTCCAAAATTATTTTTTTTAACTTGTCTATGAGGGAACTCTTCTCTTCTCTTATAAACTGGGTATTCCAACTATATTTGTAAAAATCAGAGATTCCGATAACTGCTTAAAAAAAAACCTGATAAAAGGTTGTCTTTTGTTCAGGACCTAAATTTTAGCCCTTGAATAAATAGGTGATAATCCACTCTCATAGGTTTTGAAAACCTGGTGTTTGGCTATATGTCTTAGCTGAGGTTAATGGTGAAACTGTGGTTGAATTTGAAGCAGACCTGCTCTGGTTTACACTCTTCTGAAGGAATTATTTTCTCTTTTCTGAAGCCTCCTGTTAAATGTTTGTGTGTAGATGTAGAATTTGAGAAGTGTAATATTTCAGTCATTTATCACATCTCTGACAAGCTTGAGATGAAGAACCTTGACAAAAGATGCTCAGTGTATGATTTCTGAAAGAACATCCTGTTTTTCAATAATTGGAGTGTAGTGTTCCTGAAGAAATAGGCAGCAAAATTGATAGTTCATTAAAGAAATTGAGGTTTTTGGTTACAGTCTGACTTCTGGCCACCAGGACTCGGTGCACTGCCATTATTCTGCCTCTGTTTTGATAATTCTTTTAAAATGGTGAACAGCATCACAGATCTTCTGAGATTCAGTTTGACGTTCCAATATAATTCAATCAAAAAATTCAGTGTGCAAAGACCTTAAAGCTGTTTTTGCTAATGGAAATGCTTTCTTTTAGTATGAAGTCAGTAGTCCCCTACATTGTCTAACCCTGATGATAGTGAAGTCCAACAATTGGTCTGATCATTTATAAACTCTTTTCTTAAGAAAATAAAAAAATAATTTCCTTGTTATACTTAGAATCAAAAAACCCCAGCCTTTGTCAATTAAAGTTACTGCTTTCAATTGCCCTATTTTTCATATGTCAAAAACTTCTGAAAAAAAACTTTTGGATATAAAAACTGGGATAAGAAAAAATCTTTGGGAGTGTATCATGTGACACTTTGAAAAGAGGTGTGGGTGACCTCTCAGCAGTAGTGGCCAACATCCAGTGACCTTCAAACAGCTGCCAGTGATTAGAGCTTCCTTTGCCTCTTCTAGCAGGATCACCTCCACAGGTGGGCAGCTGCTGTTATTCCAGGCTTATCCCTGCTTAAGGAAACAGGACAAAGAAAATTTACTTGACAAAGATCATTGTTAGAGTCTTGTAGAGGTCTGAGCCATTAAGTTTTCAATACCACTATTTGATGTATTTCTGTCCATCCTTTGGTCTGAGGTTGTAACTACATGTACGTACTAGAGGAAGAGAAAATTTAAAGCAGTGGAAATGTTCCTTCTGTTCCCAGAGGTTTCTTCAGAAGAATATCCCCTGAAAAAACAGATATTAGACATGTATACACTTTTTCCTCTACAGGACAATGTAGTATGGAGAAGTATTCTCAAGTATGGAGAATGCAGGATGCAAGTCTGGAGTGTCAAACTGAAGTAGCATTCAACAAGATGTTGGCAGGATATATACAGTTTGCTACAAATTGCTGACAGTGACTGGGTATTGATAGCTGGTCAACTATCTGCTGCTTCCAGTTTGATTTTTTTCTTTCTTAAAACAGCAGGCACTACATCCTTTTACTAATTTAAAAAGAAGCCTTCATACAGGTCAGACTCAAATAAAATGAGAGGAGATAATTCTCTCCAGTTGGACACTACTGAAAGCTTCCTCAGATCTGTAGTGTAAATGTATTTAGGTACATTCAATACAATGAGGGAGGAATAATCATGTGTGCATTGCAGGCTGGCTTAGTAATAAAAATAATTTCTGACTTTAATTGACCTCTGGTCTAAGGAGTCAGGGAGACCGTTTTAAACCTTACACTTCTTTGTTGGGCTTTAAATATCCTGGATAGTGCAACATATGTGTAACATTGGAAGCTTAGGAAGAAGGGGACACAGCTATTTTTTCTGTTTGTTTGAAAAATTTTGATGAAATTATATTTGCACATGACTAGAAAATTTGGAGGGTACAGGTTAAAACTTATAAATTTAGTGAGCTTGAACTCATTATCTGCAGTGGAGCCAACTTTTACTGTTGTTGCTCTTCTGGTGAAAACTGCTGAAGGATATTCAACAAACTATAATGCTACAATTTATTTAGCCTGAATACATCTCTCAGCCTAACTGAAATGATGGTAGCCTCTGGTTTTTGTGGAGTCAATACTCAGTCTGTGCTAGAAATACCAATATGTTCCATGCTTGTCAACACTCATCTCATGCAATGCCAGTAGAACTTTACCTGTGTATTTTTTACATATAATCGTTGTAATATTACTGAGATCCCTATTAACTCAGTGTTTTTAGGACTATTTGCATTGATAGCCACTAGCAAAAGGAACATTTATCCTATTTAACATTCTGTGGTTTCACAGGAAATTGATCTTTATTCCATTACAGAAAGAGGTGTTGAGTGCAGGGGTCTGTTCAGTTTCAAACACTTCGATATTGCATGAAGAAGGGATGTGTGCTGTTCCTTAGGGATTGAAATACCTATGTCAGTCCTTTTCACAGTTTGGCTCTGGATGCCTGGACCTAAAAAAGCCATAATTTCCAAAGTAAATTTGTCTGCTGAAGAGTAAGCAAACACTGAACCAGGATTCCTAGGCAAAACAACACTGTGGCAGACATTGGTTTCTGGTGACCTGAATTTGTACAGCTTGCAGTTGGGGTTATGCTTTGATGCTCTTGGCAGAGGAAAAAGTATTTGTGTCTCTCTGTATATTTGCCTTTACCTTCCTTTGAATTTCCTTTTCATTTAAGATTTATTTGTATTACTTTGTTTGTAAGCACCATAAATGTTTCCAGTCCCAACCGGACAAATTGAATGAAGCAACAGCATTGAATTGTTGTTGAACTGTTGAAGCTATCATCTGGTTTTCCTTTATTTTTCCCTGTTTATTGAACACACACTGTTCCATTTCTTAATGTTTCTTTTTCTGTTCCTTGTTGCTTATGCCACTGCTTTCCTCACTCTTTGTGCTTGTGTGACAGACAGAAACAAATAAAGGCTGCTTTTGAGATGAAAAGTGCAAACCTTCTTACTTGTGCTTTTATTTACCTCCTTACCAGCGTGAAAACTAAGTGGTCGCAGTGTGGTTGCCATTGTTGGATGTCCATTCTGCTTTTATGGGACACATTTCATCCATTAGGCTCTTCAGAATTCACAGAAACTGATGTCCTTTTTCTTCAAGTCTGATAGAGTTCATAATTCACTGAGTGAGCTAATGATGGCAACTGAGAACTTCTTTATGTGAGACAATAAGGGATTAATCACAACCAAATATTCATTTAAAAAAGAGGAAGTGCAGAATCAGAGTTATTTGCTCAGTGTCTAAAATGTCTAAAAACTACGTTTAGAGAAAGGGTAAAATCTAAGCAAAAAGATATTTTTAGTGACTGTTGAAGATTGTAATTTATTTTGTTTTCAGGGTGGAGCAGAACATAATATTCCAGTGGTCATTTCTAAGATTTCCAAAGAACAAAGAGGTGCGTATCAGTTATCAGCTTATTACACTAATTACATTAATGTACCCTTTAAAGAAAGATATATTAAATCTTGAGATTCTTTACTCAGTGTGAAACAAATACTATTGTCAAATTCTTTCTCTCCCATGTCTTTATGACCTCTCTCTTCCTCAGAAACTTTTTCCAGAAAAGTACAGGATGGATATTTGGAATAGCTTTTATATATACGTGTATATATATATATTTAGGAAAGATTATTGCAAAGCATTATTTTTAATATGAGAAATAGGAAGGTATTGATAGAATGAAAATGATTAACAAAATTAACAAAAAGCCATGATTTAGTGGCTTTGACTTCCCATTAGTTTTTTTGTGGAAGCTGTAGCAGATGAAATGTTTGGCTCTTAAATCATGGCAACACAGCAGGGGAATGCATGACTTTTTAACTTGGTTAGTCAGGTAGTATTGAGACATAAAGTCTTGACCATACTTATTTTCAATAATAGCAGAGCTGGTGCTGAATTTCTGTATTTTTTTTAACTGGCAACATTTTGAAATTATTGGAATGATACATGAATAATAGTTAAACAGCTCAAGATGTGCACAGTTTTGAGGAAGGTTATGAACCAGTACTTAATATGGGGTACTTAATATCTTTGTTATGTTTATATGGACTTGTGTAAAGCCAGAAAAACTAACTTGGGAACATTTCTCTCCATCTGTAATGCAATAATTCTAGAACTCAGCTTCTCCTCAACTAAAATGTGCCAGCATAAAAAAAAAAGTCTTGCATTCACCCCCTCATATAAAGAGAGGTATGGAAGATTCAGCATATTGAGATCCAAAAGCCAGCCCTGAAAGGCAGATGTGAAAGCTGGATTTAGGGAGAATAAAGAGTAGTATGGAATGAGCCCTAAGGAAGGCAATAAGGTTAACCTTAAGAAGTTATACTTCTGACTACATAGTTTTCAGTATACATGTAACTAATACAGAAATATGTGGCATATATTACATGCAGTAACTATTAAAATGATATTAAGCACTGCAGGAAGAATAAGAAAGATATACTTAAGTTTAATTGAGCACATAGAAGTGCAATTTTATTTCTGTAATATTTTTTTTTGCTGCAGTAGCTGTTGCATTGTTTCTAGCCCCAATACCTAGCTGGGATATAATCTTCATTACTGCTTTCAATAAAAACACTGTGGATTTTTAGAGAGCTAGTTTTGAGGGACATCTCTTTTGTAGGAGACTGCTGTCTTGAGATGTGGAAAGTGTTATGCTCCTGGACTAGAGAAAATGCTATTTGACCCAAAGCCTATGCCTCAAAATAAATCAGAATGTCTGTTCTGCAATAATTTAACCATCCATTGTTAAATATAGCTCATAGGACCATTCCTTCAAGCACGGACTTGAGTATCATAATTTATGTCAATATTGATTCTGGTTTTACAGCTCTTGTAAAAAAGTTTAGTTTTTGGATCAAGTCCAATACTAGCTTTTTCCAGACAGTATCTTCTGTGATAATACGGAATACCATAGGTAATTATCACAAGTAATCTGTTAATATCTTTTAGTTCTCATGTTGGGGGTTATTAATGCCTTTATAGACATTTAAATAATCTTCATTATATCTCTGGTATACTTATAAGGTGTATTTGAATGAGATAGCTCTGAAATAGAGCAAAGTGTTTAAAAATTGGAAGTGTAGAATTAGGTTTTATAAATGTTTTTGTGATGCAGCTTTGTTTTAAAAATCACATTCAGTTGGGCTGGTGAATTTTTTTACAATATATTTATTTTCCAGCTCTTCGGTGTATATAACTGTTACCCATTATTTATAGTCCCTGGTATTTAGCAGACTTTATCAAATATGCAGGATCTAAAGGGTCTTTTATCTTCAGTAAAAGCTTAAAATTTAAATTTGTTATTCATAAGTAGCTCTGGAGTCTCCCTGTTGCTTTTTTCTCTCTGTAAGAAGTTATCTCTCACAGGCAAATAGGACCTAGACCTGCAGTCATTTTCTATTGAGAAAAAAATACACCACACCTTACTGGAATGGCCTGAAAGGTGCTAGTGACTGATGGATGAAGTTTCATAGTCGTGTGCTGGGCCTGAATTGCCTCTTTTATTGTACCACTGACACACCAGTATTTTGGGTTTAAAAAAGAAAATGCAAGCAATTTATTTGGAAGTTGTATGTTGGGGTTTTTATCATGTTTTTGTTTGAAATTTTAAAAGATAATGCAAAAGCATTAAATTAAATAAGAATTCATGTACACAAAATGTTGGATGTTTTGTACAAAATGAGTGAAAAATATGCTTTCTGTTTTCAGCGGAACTTTCAGGTTTGCTCTTTATAGGAGATGCAATTCTACAGGTGAGTAAAACTGCAAATTATTTTGTCTGTATTTTTCTGTAAAAGTGAAATTAAATCTATGCTTATGAAATGTAGAGTAAGTCTTCTCTTTATCTTTTTAATAACAGATTAATGGAATTAATGTGAGAAAATGCAGGCATGAAGAAGTGGTGAGCTTTTCTGTTTTTTAGTCTACTTTTTGTCTCTTGTAGTTGCTGAAATGATAGTGTACAGTGATAGTAATGCAGTGGTATCAGCTGTCTTATTGTTATTCCTAAACAAATATGACTGTGCCTTCTAACACGACAAGCAACAAAGTGCAATCTTTTCTTCCTAAATCTGTCTAGTTGCTCTTCTCAGATAAGCTTTTCTATATTAAAGGTGATTGTTTTATTATGAAGATTTGAGCTGTACATATTCCATAATTTCTTTTTCCAGCTAATAGCTGTCAAATTTCAGCAGTGCTACACCTTTCTGGCTGTGTGGGGTCATTTTAATTTCAACAGCTGTAATTTGCACTATGTTGGAGATTTGTTGTTTGGTTACTTTTAATCCTATTTAAAAAGTTAGAGAAAACTATTCATCTGCCACTCATCCTCTGGCTGTTCCTTATGAGGGTGTTCATCTCCTTTAGTTAAGATGCTGTCATTTTGGGTATAGAATAAAATTTTATTGAGGAGATTTCTTCTAGAGAAGAAATTTTTGAGTGGTCTGTAATAGGCTGGTTTCCTATAACAGCTTTGTTAAATGCACCATGTACCTTCATCATATTTGACTTTTTGACACTTTTTAAATACTTTCAGAAGCAGAAAACTCTTTGTTTCAATAAACAATGCCAGAAATTAGAATATTACCAAAGAAATTACCTTTAAATTCTGTTTAGCTCCATAGCATTTGTACCTGTATTTTTAAAACAAAATTGTAGTGATATATTTGAAAACTTATCTTTCTCAATCTTTGCCAGTTCAAGGTCGCTCTTTGTGTTTCATCCAGCATTCTGCCATATGACAGATCATTGAACATGTGCTGTTCAGGTATAGAAGGCAGGATTTAATACAAATGAAGTTCTGATGAACAAGTTCAGTGCAGGCTGAAAGCTTAGATCACTGCACTGTTCTTCAGAGTGCTTTTGCACTCTTGTTTCTGTTTGAAAATCTGTACTGCAAATCCTGCTTCATTCTTCAGACCCTTAACCATACCCCCTTCTGTATATAATAGCTAATAGTCGTATTTATATTGCTTTTAAGTTCTGTCTGTGCAGCACTGATCAGGTTGTAAATATTTTATAAGTTTGCTGGCGTTGATTTGTTTTATATGCATTAATATGGAGTCTCAGTGGGATTTAAATGTTGAAATTTAAATGTTGGAATTACGAAACATGAGAAAGATATTACTAAAAGTGTAGCCTTGTACCCTTGAATACATGTTAAAAAATAATAAGGACATCAGGATTTTATTTTTCTGAGGCATTCTCTTAACCCTGAAAATGATACATGAATCTGTTGGGTATTTCTGATAAGGTTGAAACCCATTCACAGGAAGAAAAGAGATTTTGGAGAAGGTGAAAGGGGGGATTGACATAGAATAGCAAGTGTTACCATGTTAAATTTTGATTTATACCTTGTTTATCTAACATAATCCACTTTTTAAACTCCTTGTAGATAATTCTCTATGAATAAAAAAAATGGTATCTTATCAATTTTGAATGTTTATTTATGTATTTGCAAATGGTTTAGGAATTTAAAAAGCAAATAAATTTTAAATTAAATGCTTATTTTAATTCAGAATATTTTTAAAATATTTAATAGCAGATATTGACTAATACTTAAATAGGATCAAATGTCCATATGACATTTTATAAAATAAAATATGCGAAAGAGTCATAAATATATAATATAAATTTAAATAAAAGCCAGAGTAAATGAACTCTGATAATCCCTTTTTTCCCCAAAACATTCACTGTTATATGCTTAGTATTTATGGAGTAAATTTGTTGTAAAGCTACTATAGTGGTAATAATATATGTGGTTCTCCATTGTGTGGTAAGATGTGGGTCTAGGCTTAGTCACCAGTAAAGAGTAAGTTCATCAGCTGGTGTGCCAGCAGGAGTCACGGGTCTGCAGCACATCCTTTGCAGATTGACTTGTTCTAGGACTTCTGTCCTGTGGGGTCTTTATCAAATACAGGATCTCTAGCTCTAGTCTCAAGGCAATATAGAGAAAATAAGAAGCGTGTGGAGCCTATTTGCTTGCAGCAGGGAGTTGAACAGGAGTTGAAACTTAATTTTCAATCCTTATTGCATCTAGGTATTTTTGAAATGGCTCTGCAAGACATCTGAATTTGTCACTTTGTTTCATTCTGATTTTTTTCTGTACCTAATTAAGGCTTAGCAGGTACAATGTTCTCTAAGGATATGTTAGTGTTTTGGTTGTCTTAATGTCTTAGAAAATATTCATTGTAAACCAGTGTGTAATTTTTTTTCAGTGGGTAATGCTGAAGATACCTGTAGAAAATTCAGACTTGTATCTGCAGTGTGACTCTGATTAGCATTCGTTCTTTTCCTACATGCAAAACATGTTTCTGCTTGTGGAAACTTCTTAATCATATGTCATATCTTCATAGCTCTGCACTGAAAAAATCTGTGGCATAATCACTGCAGCCTATTGTATGAAACTGATGATTAGTTGACCCTGGTATTTCATCTTGCTTTACTGATAACCATACTAGGTATATAAAATGTTCCAAAATTAGGTATTTTAATCAAACTCATGGCATCTTTCATAGCAAAGAGAATATTTCCCCAATGCACAACGATCTTATTAAACATTGCGGGCACTTTGTTGTCTTTGGTGTCTTTCATTACTTTTGATACACTAGTTTAGATAGATAGATAGATAGATAAATAGATAGATAGATAGATAGATGGATAGATAGATAGATAGATAGATAGATAGATAGATAGATAGAATGATAGATAGAATGATAGATGGACTAATAGACTCTCATAAGGCTAGATAGGTAGGTTTAGTCAGAGCACTTTACTGGAAGCCTTTACATGGTTCCTTTGTGATTTTTTTTTTTAGCTTTAGGTGAATCATTTAATCTTGAGTTTAGTTTTCTGCTTGTAGAAGGTGAAAATATTGCTCATACCATGAAAGCCCATGATGAGTTTCTATCAAAGACTGACTGTCAGCTTGTTGTTTCTCTTGGATTGTAAAGAGCCCCAAATGAGTACAGCATAACATTGCTTCAGTCTTAGTGCTCTCATGTGGTAAAGATATGCTCTCTCTGGTGAATACTGGAGGAAGCTGCAGAAAAAAAAATTAAACTAGCAATTATCTTAAAAAATATCTCTCAGCATCTCTCAAACTGGCAGTTTCCCCCCCAAAATGAACTTCCGCAATATGAAGTTACATATAGAAAAAGAGTCCATTATATCTGTGTAAATACACAGCTTTGTGCTCTTTTTACTCAGGATGTTTTAATTATTGCTTTTTCAGTAGACTCTCCTTTAAATTTTGCAACAAGAATTTTAGAAGGCTGAAATTAGGATTACTCACAGACAGACATATGAGTTTTGGCTTTTGTCTAATTAATAAGGTCCAACCATGCATAGCTTGTCAATCCACACACCTGGTGGATGTGGTTATCCACCATAATAGATATGATTATTCTTAAGGCTGAAAATGAATGTATTTCTAGATTTTACCTCCATTAATTGTCCAAACATAAAGATGGATAGACAAGCACCAACATAATACTGTTGTATGGATGTTTTTGGTGATTCTGAATCTAGCCACATCACTAAAAATGGACAAGATTTTGGAAGAGAGGGAGAGGTCCTTGACCCGCATCTGAGTGGCTGTGAATAGGAGAGAATGTCAGTTCAGTTGGATGCTACAAAAAAACCTGTGTTGGATCTACTGTTCAGGGCTGTAGTGCACCAAATCATCTAGAGCCAAGGTAGAATCCTGTTTGAATGAAAGCTGATATATTTAAGATTGTCTCTGTTCTTAATGTTGTGAATAAAACATCTCAGGTAGTACCGATAACTATAGTTACATATCTCTTTGGATATTAGCATCTGTTTTTTCCTCTTAGGAAATGGAAGAAATTAGATGATGTGAAGTAATTTCTTATTTCTTCTTTTTGGGGAACATTCAGGGAATGTTTCAAATGAAAACCGATAGCTCTCGTGTGTTGGTTAATGTGGCATTTGGGCAATCCTTGAAAAGTAACAGGAAGAGCTCATGTAGTGGCAGGTAGCTATAAAGACAGAATAGATATTCAGGCTTTGGTGGATTTTATGTAAAGGTATCTACAATATGTAACACCGTGGTTCAATTCAGCCAGTGATTGCATTTTGAACAAGACACCATTTTTTTCCAGCAGAATGATCTGATGTGAGATGTCCTCATGCACTGCACTGAATCTTTTGCTTCCCCCTTTTTTCAACATTCACAACAGGGTTGTAACTGCTGACACTCCATGAGTCATTTATGTTATATGAAAATGACAGTGTAGAGATTGTTGTTGCTTAACTGCATTCATCTGCAGCTAATGCACATCTTATTCTGGCCTTTCTCTTTAAAACTATGGCCTCATTCAAACTGATTTTTAAAACTCCTTTTCAATAGTTTTGGCAATGTTTTGGTAAATGTTTTTAAGCAGAAGAATGAGCATATTGTATTTTTAAGACAGAACTGGAAACCAAATGATGTGAAATCTCACTCCATCTTGACTTTGCAGATGTGTCTTTTGGTAAATTATGTTTTTGTCCTATCTTTGTTTCTTTGACTATGAATCAGAGACTGAAACTATTATCAGACTTAGCTCCCTGAATTCTATGAAGTACTTCTATGAAGTATAGAAAAGTACCTCTGCATTAATATTTTGGAGTTTCATGAAGTGACAACAGCAATGTGCAGAGATTGCCACTTTCTCATGTTGCAGAGATCCTGTGCTTTATAACTCACAGCACAGCCATTTAATCCTTTCTCCTCTAGACAGAATGGCAACTTTAAATGTGGAAGCTGCACAGTCAGTGCTTCTAAGACTACAATCAATCTAACTTCTGAATTTAAAAGGGAAATGTAAACTTTCTGGAAGTCCAATACTTTTTCTATACAGCTGCTGTTTTCTATCTAAGCATTGAGTACTACTACTACTA